AAAAAAAAATTAACTTAACTCGTAATTCTAAGCTTCAAGGAAGTTATTATATTTCTCTTTAATCAGTACTTATTCGAGTGTTTTAGATGTAGAGAAAATTGTCCTTCGCGTATTCAATGACAAGCATTATCAATAAGCATTTTGAGGAAAATTCTACTTATTGGTAATTACGTAAGACGCGCGAAGGGATGTCACTAAACCTCTCAATACGCTTTTACAATGACAATATTGATTAAAAAGACATTATTTTCTAATATCTCTTGTCAATCACAAAGAAAGCTAGAGGTATAAACTTAGCTGCATCGAACAAACAATGACGATCGGCGGTTAAAAATACTCATTCTGAATTTAATGCTTGGAAATTAAGTTCTTTTGTAGCACAAATACTATACGATTTCTCGTGCAAAAATACCCATGAAAAAGGTTCTTGCGCGTCTGGAATTTTCATGTGAAAAGATCTTCTGTAATAGAGAATTGTCTTATTCTCTTCGTTTTGCATTATCGCTGGGAACGTTGAGTCTCCAAGGCGACGTAAGAAACTTGTTTTGCGATCCTAAAAAAACCCCGAATCTTTCAAAGAAAATATCAAGTTTCATAGTTTTGAACGTCTATGTATCATAATCAATATGTTTTCTATGAAAAAGATTTAACCCTTGTCTTTTGCTGAATCGTGGGTGTAGGATCTCCTTTTTACCGTTGGAAAAGTGGATGCACAATCTACAAACAGAAGGCTTTTATTTCAATGTCATTAATAATCAATTTTTCCATTGTTAAGCCTGAATCTCTCTAAGAGCCATTATTGTATTCTTTAAAAACAAATATCAATTTTCTCCATAGTTTTAATCTTTGGTGATAGAAACTTCTGATACGAAGCAGCTTGTTTCGTTCAGTAGCAAAGATTGATGCATGTGCCTGCCCCAGTTCATATTTGATTAACTTGTGGCTAGCTTGGACGAAGGTAAGAACATTTTGAGATGCCGTTTGTAGTGTAGAGCGAAAGCGGGACTAAATCTGACAAGCAATGTTATTTTAAAGTCAACTGTAGCATTTACCCTTCTAATCCTGTCATTGTTCAATCATTTCTAAAGCTTTATTTCCACTTTTCGTACCAACATTTAGGAAAAGTCTCATACAAAACAATATTTGCCTCCCCAGGCAGCCTTTTAAAATAAATTTTGATTGCCCATATCTTTGTTTTTCAGTTTGTCTTAGTAATTCGTGTATTCATAACAACGAAAATGATTTTAGGCCTCTTTCAAGGGAATGGAAGTAAAGTAGTTATAAAAACTATTTGTTCCTTACTTTATTTCCCGCTGTTTAGAAATCTTCGCGGCATTAGTGCCTGTTTATTACCTGTTAATTCGCAGATGATATCCATGATGGTAATGAATGTTTGTAATGAACGTGATTTTGCCGATATCAGATGGGAAATACTGGCCTTGTTTTACACGGGTGTGTATTCTTTGTTTAAAAATTTTAGCCAAATGTTAAATCTTTAGATTAACAGTTGTACATTGCGAACATTGTATAGTTAATCCGGTTTTAGCTACTTTCAATAGTCCATGTTATTTTTCTCGAGGAAAACTTGGCTTGGAATCAGTGCTTTCTTGCGAGTTAACACTGAGCGATTATCGAATCACTTTCCTAAGCATGTCAAGACTGAAACGTGTATAATTTTTATACGTACTGTTTTTTTTTTTCTTTCTTCCAATGTTTTTCGTCGCTGGTTATCACTAACAACTTGATTTAAATTTGATGATTCGAGCACCGTTTTCAAACGTGGCCTTTCATTGTTTATTTTGCTTTGCCGATCGAAATGCTCTTTTTGGTGACACTATAGTATCAGTGAACATCCATAAATTTGTCTTCTTCTTTTTCGATTCGAATTATTATAGAGTATAATACATTTAAAATAAAACATAGACCCGTCCCCCACTGTTGGTTTCTCTTAAATGTTCAGTAAATCCGTGATGAATGTATTTTCTTGTTAATCAAGATTTCCTTTTATTTTGTCAATTTTTTTAAGTACAGTTTCACGTGGCAGTAAGTTTTAAGAGTAAAAAGCAATTATCTCTCGTGACAACCTATCTTATAGTTAAACTATCTGTTTCCTGCTATTGGAGTGTTATGGCTATTTGTATTTTCTTTTACACTAATGTACGAAATAAACACTGTCTCTTAGAGGCAGTGCATTACACAGGTCCATATTAGCAAAAATTCAGTGAAGCCCGAGACTTTTGAAAGTCTCAGGTTTCGCTGAATTTTTGCAGTTTCACCTTATTTCAGCATAGTATTTGCCATTAGTTAGCATTTCTTTCCTATCAAAAAGTGGATCATTGGATAATGCAATTCAAGAGTTTTGATTGGCTTAGCCATCATGGTAGATGAGCTATTACATCATACTCTACAGATATATGGCAAGCGCACGCGTAAGAATATAAACAGCGGTGACAAAAACATGAGTTTAGGGCAAGAGTTTAGAACGAGAGTTCGGCGTACGGGTACGTTTTTTTCATTTTTGTTTAGTTTTCTATTTTTGGGGGGCGTTTTTAACAAGACAGTTATTCCACTCGCCCTTGTTAGATAACTTGTTGGATATAAAACTTGGCACCACACGTCTCGTTGGCTATCTATCATCTCGTATCTAACCCACGCTCGTGGAATAATTGTTAAATATTTTATCTCCGTATAAACTGACAGGCACTTTTCTAAACACGGTAATGAATTAAATAATGGAATAGTATTTAACCTGACAGCAGACCAAGATGCTTGAGTACTCGGGTCTGGCGTTATAATTCTATCAAGTTTGATCTAATTAATAATCAAATTTCACTTTTTATTGAATGTTCAGCATAAATTCACTTTACAACTGAAAAATAACTAAAAGTACTTCTTTTGGGATGAATATCTCCAACTTGGCAGTTTCATGCTTTTAAGAGTGAAAAATACTTGAATTTGAATCTTCAGACATCTTTGCCAGCCATTCTTAAACAAATTCCTGTTAACGTGCTGGATGTCCACGATGAAAAAAGAGAAGTAAACAGAGAGATTAAAAATGCTTTCATGCCCATAATGAGTGTGGTATAACAATAACCGGATCTTCGCATCTCCCGTCATATATTATTTGACCAATAAGGCCAATTAATGTTGAGTGCCCGGAAATGGCAGTATTGTAAACAAATCTAATTGCTTTATCTCGTTACCTTACTGTTCTTTGAATTCATTTCAGATTTTTGAGTGTGCCAAGTTGGAACATCATTCCTTTTTCGCTGTGACTATATGATTCTCGGTAAGTATTCAGTCGCTGTGTTTTGTTATAACTGCATTTATGGCTGGGAAAAATTAATTTTCGAAAAATGGAAAGTAAAGGAGCAAAGAGTTCGTCTACTAATATATCAGAAATCATTACATATTGTTTGCGTGGTAATTTTCGCGTTGAAATATCTTTTAGTCTTTCACTTTCTTTGGAGGTTTGAGTTAATTTGCTTAAAAAGTAAGAGTTTGTCGACTCAGCTTTAAAATCCGGATTAGAAACTTTTACAGGAAGTTAAAAAATAATATCCTATGTACAGTCATTGAACTTTCGCAACTACAAACTATAAAGCAATTCAGTCCCAGCTTAACAAGACTGTGAGCTAAGAGCCGTAACAAGCATTCTGAGAGGAGACAATTCGAGCCTCTTCCTTTGTTCACAAGAAATGAGTGTGGCCGGCAACTCCTTTATTTTTTGTCTAATATGTTTTTATTGTTACTGACATGATCGGCGATTGTTATTGTTGGTTTTATTCCAGTTTCTTTCAAAGAGAAGTTCTTTCTATATCTTCCAATTTCCTGATTATCACTTCACGAAACTTTTGACAGAAAAATTAGTTTCCCACCTATCACATTTCCTTGTTTACTTTCGCCAACTTAGTTATATGCATCTGATAATTCTCCCGCTCTAAGGGGCGTAATCACAAGTTTCATTATCAATTTTAACCTTGAGCATCTGACACACAAATAATAAATTTACATATGACAATTTAGAAAATCGATCACATTTTGAGGAAGTGTTAAGTCTTAAGGAACAAAGGCCGGAACAAAGTTGCCTCGTACTTGAGAATGCATACAGTATAAGTGTTGGTTGTTAGCGTTCCTTACCAATTAGATGGCTCAAGATGTAAGTTAGTGGCACATGATTTGTCTTGTATGGCCATGCAAAAAAAGTGATCAAAACCTCATCAAGATGGATGGGACAAAGAAACATGGCTAAGTCCAAAAAACGTTTCTAGTAAAGTCATAAGAATTTTGCTTAAGTTGATTGCCATAACGTAAAACTTTGTCCCCACACAAGATAATATTAATCGCCAAAATCAAATCGGCACCGGAAACTGAACATGCTGGATAGATAAAGCAAGTTTTGGGGCTAGCTGTGTAAAGATTTCATTCATGTGTTGGATAAAGCGGAATTCTAAAACAACTCAGGTACCATTACGGTGGAGGTTTGAGCGAATGATTATCTCTGACGTATTCACATTAGCGACTGACAGTCAATCGGATAGCGCTTATACTAGTTGAAAGAAAGATCTAGATATAATGTTGATAGGAATCTGCTTTAATGGATGTAAGTCAGTTAGATTTGCTGTCGCAAATTTGGTACTGCATGGCGAATAGTGCTGGGGAGTAGTTGTGGAACGTCACTAAGGCCGAAAACTAGCTTGTGCTCGTGGTTATTCAGTGCGCAGAGAAACAGACTGATTATATCCTGGGAATAAAATCACTATTGCTACGAAATACAGCGCTGCAGCATTTCTTGACTATTGAATTATAAGTCAACAAGATTGGTCGAAACGACAGCTCTGCTCTGTCTGTCTCTATTATATTGCATGCGAAAGAAACATAACACGAGGGCTTTTGGCCGGCACGACCTGTTGCTTGCTGACCATTTATCATGTAGTTTAGTTACGCAGGGCCCCTTTTGATACCAGCCTATGGCTGCATGATGGGGCTACCCTGCCTAAGTAAAGATGACTTGACTTGACACAGGACAGTAGCGAGGTCATTTAAGGGGCTCTTGCGATGTGGGATATTAAGGTTAAAATTTAACGAGATACGTGTCGTAATATTTGTGGGACAGATCAACGGGATACGGGGGTACTTAGACCAGATTTTTCGGGATATGGAGGGGAAAAATTGTTAGTTTCTGAAATTGAAATTTATGGGATACAAAATAATTAGACCAAAAGCTAACGGGATGCGAGATATTCAGACCCCCAATGGGGTCTCAGAAGGACAGTAGGATGTTCAATCACGATATCTTGGGACAACCGAATTCGATCATTATTTTATCACTCAAGTTTGTTTTCATATTTAATCCCTTTTTAACCGCTCATAGGGGCGATCTGCCATTTTTCCTGCAAGATCGTGGTTACAATTACGCAAGAACAGAATATTATTTGTAGTAAAGCACATTAGATGGTATTACGCATGAGCAGAAAATTATTTATTTGTAGGTAGTTATTTGCAGGTCACGTGATGGGCTCTCGGCCAATGAAAACGAAACATATGCGTCGAATGATAATTGGAGATGTTTGTATACGAAAAGAAACTTCCTTACGTTAAGCAGATGAAACAACAACATGGCTGCCATTTCACCGCGCGAAAACGCTATTTTACGGGGATTTATTAACAGACACGTGAAAAAAGTTGAATGGTGAAGAATTCAAGTTTACTGATGGTATCTTGAATTTTTAGTACCATTTAGGTTTACAATAAACACTATTAAAGTTCTTTCTAACTTCCCTTTATCAATTGCAGCTGTTTGATAGGAAAAACCGCTGACTGTTCTTAACATGGATCCCGGACTAATTTACTTAGCACGATTGATCGAGAGATACTTGACCAGCGGTCACGTGTGGTGGCACATGCCGCTGGTATTGACGATGGCTTACACGTTATTAGTGAGAGAAAGACTGCTGTATAATGCTCTGTATGATTCCTATCCCAATCCACTGCCACAGGTCAAAATGCGCTGTAATGATCCAGTGTTAGGTAAGTTACCAGTCTAGACCCACACTTCTCAAACTCATTGATAATTCCTCAAGTTAATAAGCAAGGGAAATCATGACAATATCGGTGTTTGGATATCTGATCTTAACAAACAAAGATCTTTACGAGTTTATTTCTGCGTTTTCTCCTTAGTTTTAGTTTCGATTGAGAAAATAYATCAAACACTCAAGACAGTGTTTGACCACATTTCCAAACACCTCGAAGTTCGTCAAAAATGCTCCGCTACGCGTCGTATTTTCAACTGTCTTCTCGGTCTTGGAAATGTGTTCAAACACGATCTTGAGTGTTTCATATATTACTTACAACATTCAAATGCTCCATTCACTTAGATTAGGACACTGACTGCTTCTTGCACAGTAAGTGATAACGCCTATTAACTATGCCGTCAAACTGGGTGCAGTGGAAGTTTCTGAAACATATTAGGACGATCTCATAGCTCAACAGTGATAATATCAGACAAGAATAAATGTTAGAAAACTAGGGATTTTAAGCCAAATGTCTTGCGAGGGGAAAAGCATCGAGGATGATGGTGGAAAAGAACTAAAAAAGCTTTAGTCGCAAACCTTTTCTTTCATAAACTGAGTTCAAAGTAATTGGCTACAGTTTCCCCATTTTACCAACGCCTTCGAGTCCTCCTTGAAATATGCATGTTATGTTTAAATTAAAAAAACAGCTCGTAATTTATATTAACTCGACTATCTTATACATAGCTTTAGAGCGTTTCTTTGAATTAGGTCATTAGTTACAGTTTTACTATTTGTTCCATTATGTAGAGTCGTCAGAGCTGTCTTGCTTTGTTCTATCACTTTTTTCAGAATATTAAATTAGAACTCTCTGTTTATTTAATCACAATTTTTTCAAAGATATATAATGTTAATACCAATTTTTTTCTCAGGGGATGGCTATATAGGCTGCGTCAAAGTGTCTATGCTGATGGATTATGGATTCACGGAGCAGTACTTAGCTTTAGTAACTCCTGAGGATTGCATTGCCACGTGTAAAACTAACATGTTTCCTTATGCAGCACTACACAAGAGCAGGAGGTATACAATTATACATTTAACAATAAGATTATGAGCTCGAGATTTCTATGACGCATAGAAATCGAGAGTGAATAACCTAATTGTTTTGGTATGAATCTAATGGGTGTTCAAATCTTTCATCTAAATTCTCTTTAAAGTCACTTCGAAAACGCAAAGAAGCGGCCCCTAGCGCACACTGCTAGGGCACTCACTATCTACAACAGAATAGATAGTGAGTAGCATAACCAATTAGAGAACGGCATTCGTGGTAGAATCCCGGTAGATTTATATTAATACTAATTATTATTATACATTGAACTCACTATCTCTTTTCTGATTGGCCGAAAGCGCACAGTGTATTTTCGAAATCAGTGCCTGTGACGTCATCTAGCTGCAGATTATGCAGCTAGATGATTGCAATTCTAGAATCGTATTGATTATCAACAGTTATCTTAATTATCTTGGACGGTTTACGTGTCAATACACAGTATGAGCTGTCTTTAAATAGTCACTATAATGGTTCCTTTCCCTCTTGATTTCGAAGTCAATGACAGCTCTTGTCCTTTTGATGAAAAAAGTAACTTTTTTCTTTCGTTCTTCGGATCACCAAAGTTGTCCTGATAATGAAAAATTGCTTGCAGGAATTCATGTAGCGGTAATTCAATTCTGACAGTACATAATCAAAGATGTGCTTTACAAATTCAAATTGGGCTCCTACACGGCATGCGTCGCGTTCGACTGATGCATGGTTCTGTTTAAAACTAGAAGTATGATTAGCCACCAATAGCATAATGCATGTATAACGGAACGGAACGTCACCAAATGTGTCACAATTTTTTAAAGTTGTTTCCCATTTTCATTGTAGATGCTATTGTGGTATGGGGTACGAAACAGAAGCGATAGTTAGAGAGTGTAAATGTCGACGAAAGTGCACAGGGAACAAAAAGAAGCGATGTGGGGGTGGCGATCATGCTTCCCTCTACAATACGTGTAAGTGTGAGCAACAGCTGCATGCAATTATCCTAAGAAGCATAGCGGCAACAGCAGCAGCGAGAACGCTAGCCAACGCAGGCAGATTGTAATGTATGCTGCTTGAGACTTCTTTCCGATTTCTTTTAGTCCAACCAATTTTTGTTGCTATTGTTAGTTTTCAAAAGATGTGACCTCATGTTTAAAGTTAACTATGATTTTATGTTCTGTTCTATGTTTCACAGATTTCTGTACAGAGAGAATGAAAGCAGCTCGGACTATCGATGGAACGTGTAACGACCTCAACAACACTGCTGCTGGAAGCAGGTTTTACCGGTTTGGCAGGAACGTCCCGTTACAATATTCCTACACGGACGAAACACGTCTCCTTCAACCCAATCCACGAATTTTAGCCCGAAAGTAGGTTTAAATTTATGCTTCATTCTTTACTCAGTGTGCTGCAAAACTGAACTCGTTGAATTTGGCTTCTGTTTCACTGAAAATTTTGTCAGTTCGTTGTTATCGATTATATTCACTGTCGTCAAGCCTCTTTAGTGGCTTACCACCTCGGTGGCGGTGTAAACCCGGTTTCTTACGAGTCTTTCTACTTTTTCCTGGATGGGATGCTGATACATCTCCGATTAAATTCGCCGGAACGGATTTGAACACTCGAGTGGAGAGAGGTACCGTGAGAGTTAAGTGTCTTAAACACGTTGTCCCCGGCCAGGGCTCGAGCCCAAAGCATACGATTCAGAGCCTAGGGATGGTTTGTAACATTCAAAGCCTCCAAGCGAGAGCAGAGCATCCTGACTCCCGGGACATAGTCAGGATGACAGTGGGATTTGGAATGTGACAGATTTTAGGGTATGCAACATTGGAGTCATTATGTAAAATAACTGAGCTACTACGCGCGTTCTCATTGGTCGATAGGTTAGGTCGTTTTGTTCTTTCCATGGGTGAAACTTCCGAATGACTTCCCGTGGTCAGGACGTTATTGTAGAAAGGACTTAGCTAGTCGTTAAGTTTAAAATTATTTCCGTAGAAAAAAGCATCTTATCGTTTATCCTTAGATAATAGGTTTTGTTGAAATTCGTTCAACTCTTATAGTGAGCGCAACAGGCCACACTATAAGGGTTCAAGGGTTGCAACTGTTGAGATAATTTTATTTTTAGTCGCAGTGGGATTTGGAATATGATTAGCACCCAATCAAAATCGACATTTCCAACGGCTAACAATCACAATGCTCCAGCGTGATTGATTGATTAATTGATCGAATCACGAACAAAATCATCTTCTTTACTTTCAAATCCGTGCTGTCATTTGTTGAAAATTCTCGGCTGGCTCTGGTTGAAGTCGTGACGTTTTGGATTCGCGCGTATTTTTGAGACTTATTTTATAAAAGCAATAGAGCACATTTTCCGTGTTTACATAGCCTCATCTAAACGCTCGGGCGGTTAGGAGAAATCTCGAAAGTTATCCAAACCCTCGACTACGTCTCGGGTTTGCATAACTGTCTCGGAATCCCAACCCTCCTCGTGTTTAGTCGAGGCTATGTAAACACGGAAAAAGGGCTCTATTGCTAAAATAGCACTCGATCAAAACATTATGGTAAATCTTCAAGCGCAATAAACATTACTTTGTAAGTGACCCGTTTTCACTACCATACGCAAGACAAACATTTGATTCATTCTTCCTGCAGGTTGTTACAACGCAAGAACTTTCTTCAGGTTCCTTGGTTGAATCTCTTTGGGGTGGCCTGGGTCCAGTTTATGGTACATGACTGGTTTGACCACGGTACGCCAATCACGGAACACCGAATAAAAGTTCCTCTACAGCAAGATGATCCGCTACATTCAAAACTGAAGGGTAAATGAAATCTTACTATAGCAAGGAATCATTAGAGTATGCAGACCTAGGCATTGGCTAGACTATAGTGATTTGCTGAACTAAATATTACATCTCCAAAATTCAGAATACTCGACTTTATTTGTCGGAGTTTTATTGAAGCTACACTTTGGCAACTCTAGAATTCCTTTCACCAACTGAACTACTGGATAGTAAGCTTTCTTCATATTTTTTTCATATTCAGGTTTCATGAAAATTCTTCGTACTAAACCAGACACTTGTAAAACTAACTATTACGAACCACCTACCTACCAGAATGACGTCACACATTGGTGGGACGGCTCACAGCTGTATGGCAGTGACAAAAAAACGCATGCACGCGTTCGCGCCTTCGTTGACGGTAAACTGAAAGTTGACGATGATGGATTGCTGCCTGTCGATCCCAGGACCAATATCGACATCACCGGTAATGCTGTGTATTGATTTGTTTTGTTGTTGTTTTTTAATAAGACACCGATATAACGGATGCTCTGATTGGACATCTTCTGAATTCTTATTTTTACCCAGGATTCTCCAAAAACTGGTGGGTTGGATTAAGCATTCTTCACAACCTGTTCACAAGAGAGCACAACTTAATCTGCGACATGCTGCTGAAGAATCATCCCACTTGGACAGATGATCTCCTCTTTCAAACAGCAAGGTACGACCAGGTTTTGTCAATCATCAATCAATCAATCAATCAATCAATCCGTCAGTCAATCAGTCAATCAATTCAGAGCTCACAGATCCTTTTCTAGACCTACATTTTTCCGATCATTATGTGACTATTATGACTTAAATGGAGTTTAACAATGGCAGTAATTTGGCTGAGGTGATTAGTTGTTTTTTACATATAATACGTCTCAGAATAGTTCCGTCTTGCTGGATAAATACCGCCATTTATCTGAAATTTAGAACTTTCTTTGCCCAAATAAAATTCCTATCACTTATTTGACAGGCTTATCAACACAGCTCAAATAGTTCAAATCCACACCCGCGAATGGACTGCTGCAATACTGAACACGGACTTCATCCACGAGTCACTGTTTGCACAGTGGTACGGCAAGCTGAGCCCGAGGATCTTGAAGATGTTAAGAGACATGAACATCACCGTACAAGCAAACAGCTTCCCCACACACCAGGGGAACCCTCCGGACTATAGAGGGGTTCCATTTTCCCTGACTGAAGAATTCGTTTCGGTGTATAGAATGCATTCGTTGTTGCCAGATAACATTGCCATTCGTCGAATGAATTCAGGTAAGGACATTTATCAAAGACGCAAAGAAACAGTAGAACAAACAAATAAGAACAAAAAAAGGACACGGCACGAAATAAGGCATGAAGAGATCGACATGAATACCTTAGTGCATTTTAGTTTCAAGAGGATTTCCCTAATGAGACCAGCGTTAGCCTTGTGGAACGTTTCTCTGATGCTGCACGCCGCTGTTATTGTTTAGAACAAACATTTTAGAAGCACTACACACCACAGACGTTTCATGCCCAAAATTAAACCTATTTTAAGTATTGAACTACTCAATGTAAGGTAATGTAATTGTATATCCTCGAGCCTCTGATGTTGTTATTGTCGTTCGTTTTACAGGTCGTTTCAGTGGAAAGGCCTACAGCCTTCCGAAGTTTTCTTTCGACAATGCTCGCACCGTGTTCGATGAGAACCAGCTGGAGGACATTCTGTTCACATTTGGAGTGGAGAAAGCAGGGCAACTCGTGTTACATAACTATCCTACAACGCTTATGAGGCTTAAGATACCAAGACATCAGAAAGGAGGACGAGTACGATGTTAATAATGAGGCTACAATCCCAGTTTTGCTATGATCAAATAGTCAAAGATGCGCAGCATAGCTGACTATACTCCACAGGAGAACAGGCAACGCGCGCGATCGTCAAAAATGGCTGACGACTTGAATTATTCTCCTAAGCTACTTTCAATTGTGTGAAATTAATCTGTTACAAAATTAAAGTGGAGGTTTTCTTTTTAGCATTACCCTTTGCTGGCTAGGCGTAAAATTTAATAAGTAAGCTGTCACTTTTTTCGTATTCACTATTTAACTTGATCTTTTCTCTCAGTTTCTTGACCTGGCAACTATCGACATTTTAAGAGACCGCGAGAGAGGAGTCCCACGATATAACCAATTCAGACGGTTACTGAACTTAACAGCACCAGACACCTTCGAGAAACTCACCAATGACACCGTAATCGCTGCGGAACTCAGAGAGGCGTATAACGGCATCATTGAAGATGTCGACCTTCTGATTGGCTCACTGGCCGAAGCGCGTCCAGAAGGGTTTGGCTTTGGAGACACTCCGTTTCATCTTTTCCTGTGTATGGCGAACCGCCGTCTGAAGACTGACAGGTATGTGGTGCTTATTTCAATCACGGTGAGATGAGGGGTTAAGCTTCTCGAAATGTCTCGAGGTGTCTGAAAAAAACGAGTCGATAGAATCTTTGCACGCGTATCGTTAACAGGAAAGAAATGAGGAGGTGGGTAAGAATTTTTTTTTATGGGTCTGTAATGTTGTCGGTTTTGTAGTGCATCCGCAAGACCTCAACAAACTTTTTTTTGTGATTGAAAAATTCAAGCTTAACTCTTCTTCAAGATACGCGATCCTTGACCCATGAGCTTGCTTGCGATAAGCCCTTTGCACTACACGGTCTCATGGTAAGAAATCAGCCATGCTGGGATGCAACCCGACGCAGACTTCCGAAACAGAGCTAGCAACTCGCACCAGTCAAGTCTCACTGTTTGTACCATGTGACGGGGTCGTGCATAGGGCCCATTGAAATAACTAACATGTAGACCACGCTCTTCGTCTCTCGAACAGGTTTTTGACTATTGATTACAAAGAAGAGTACTACACTAAAGAAGGGCTGGATTGGGTTGAGAGCTCCACCATGAAGAAAGTATTGCTGCGAAATTTTCCTGAAGTAGCGGGACTGAGTACCTCCATGCAGAATATAAAAAACGCCTTTTATGTCTGGAATAAATAACAAAAAGTGACTTTAGGATTTAAGAGCCAGATCCCTTAGTTTAAAATTCATCTTATGACTGTCTGTTAAACCAATCAAATCAAACTGTACATTCTTAACCAAGGAGCTGGTCAACAAATAGCCTAACACGGAAGAATCTCCTTTTAGGCTTGCTCGGCATCCACCATAAAACCGTGTCTTTAGAAATCGAGGAAATTGCTTCAGTAGTTTTCATGAACGTAACGGATTCGAGAGCATCCGCTGATTGCATAAGAAATGTGCTAGTATGAGAGTCAACCTGTAACAGACGTTAAACTTAGTTATATGGAAAACCGAAACAAACTTCTATGGTGTTAATTAAATAATAGATGGATTGGCTTTTAACCAACCTGATTCTGAAGCAAATCGCTTACAGTCCTCAGGAGACACTTAAAATAAAACCCGGCAACCCGGGTTTACCGGCTTACTTATTTTCTCACTTCCCTAAACGATATAAATTGTTACTCTGGTACAAGCACATTATAATTGCTTAGCCAGGTGGTTCGGACTCCTATGTGAACCTCAGTTCAACTGCAAGAAAGATTCAAATTCGTTTAAGTAATCGCCCTCGAGAGTTTCACTTTTCCTGTCTGTATGAAGTAAATCAAATTCTTTGCAAAGTGATTACAACCATTAACTAAGAATTATTTCAAGTTCGAATCGGGCTATTTCCCTTGTGTCTATAGCGTTCAAAATGAGTCTTCGTGGGAAACCATTAATATGAAAATGTGTTCCGCCTACAGGTTCATTTTCATGCAAATCAAACTCATTTTCAGATGAAAGGTTTTGCACGAAGAATCGTTTTGAAACAGAGGCACATGGTAACTCTGAAATGGCCTGTTACAGTCCTCTTATGAAGATTTTTTTTTTCAAACGATTAATCTAAAAAACAAGGGAACAGGGGATCTGGACTCTTCTTAAAGGGCGTAGTTAAACATGTTTAAAGTGATTTAAGATATACTAAAATTGTATTCAAAAGTAGTCACAACGGTAAGAGTAAATTGTTGTTTTAAAATGACAAAACTGTATATGGGCTAAATTATTAACAAATCTCAAACGGGTTTTGTGTTTGTTTATTTCAATGCCTTTATATGATATCATTAACTTTAAACATGTTGAGTAAAAATAAATTTTAAAATATAGTCTGTTTCAGGCTCTCGGTCAGTGGGGACGATCGAAAAAGTGGGTGGGTAACGAGCAGGGTCTGGGAGAGAAAAAGGGATATCGGATCCCGCTCGTCGACCGCCCGCTTTTTCTATCGTCTCCAGGACTGACAGAGAGCCTGGAACGGGCTATTTAAAGACTTACAGACTTTCTAAAGCTGAGTTTTTTTACTCAGGTTGGCTCTCTTGCAATTTCGTGGGATCATAAGAGACTATCAAATTATTCCCCTTGCTAATCACGATCCTCTAACTTTTAATCCCATCTTATCATCTTATACATCAATCTAGATAGAAGTGGCCGAACACAGACGTCGTTCTGGCTGTCGCTTGTCTCCGTCGAAGTCTACGTGCGTTTTCATGCTAAAATAGAAGCTATGTTACCAACGTCTTACACGCTATTGACTACTCATCTGATCAAATCTCCAGCATCTTTGAGAAAAAAAAAAAAGTCCGGAACTGACTTAATTAAACCGTCACCGGAAGAATTACTAGCCAGGCATGTTCTTCAGTTTGACTGAAAATAAAGCCTCCGGCACAGCTTCAGTCTTCCTTATGTTCGTGGTGTCACAAAACCACTTATACGTCTTCGTCGAAAGAGCGAAATCACTGTTGTCGCCAAAACTTACAAGACCTCTTTACAAGTATTCCTTTCTCTTTGATCTCCAAATTTATTTGGTATATAAAATAAATAAATATAGAATTCCTTGTGCAGACTGTCCAAGTAGCTATATATATTGGCAAAACCGGAGGGTATTTTCTACGTAAAAAGAACACAACCCGAATCTAAAAACGTTAACATACAAAGAGGTTTTGATATATTAGCCCACGCATGATCTAACAACAATTCGAATTGATTCATGCTAAACTTTTAATTTGAGATCGAAAAACTTTATAATTTCTGCATACTGCCCACACGAACGAAGCAAGTCGTTGCCAAAATAATACTTTACTCTTTGATATTAGTACATTTTTCTACATTTTACACCGTTTTACATTTTTCACTTTTTCGTTTCGCATATATTTTTCATCTCCTGTTTTTACAGTTTCGTTTTTAAAGGCTTTAGGCAGAAGGCAGAAAGCTTATGACTTTGAAAATTCATAACCAGAGAACCCTTTTACACAATATGGCTCGGTAACACATCCATTTTTAATTAGCAAGTTGCGATCTCATTGCAAGCGCTGCAAGCGAAATTCATTGTTATTGAACATGATTGCAGGAACTGTAATTTGTATTCATGAGAACATTTAAGGTAATACAACATTTTTAAAAATTATTTTACCTCCAGGCACACTTGTTGTTTTGACATAGTATACGGCAATATTCAGAAGTGGCTTTTATCGATGGAGTTTTCTTTTACGATTTGTAGTTGTAATTTTTGATTCAACAGATTTAGTTACAGTCCTGCAGATATGAAAATGTTTGAAAAAAGGAGAGGTTGACCTGACAAATATTCTCGTTGTTGTTTATCAGCTCTGTCGGATTATTAGCAGTTTTAAAATACGTTGCAACAAAAAATGTTCTGAATATACTTGGTAATGCGTACCATGAGGCAACTAAAGCAACCCTTTTTCGCACCTTGATTTATCACTAATGAGATTTGTGTATAGGTTGCCACTAATGATCGATATTAAGCGTAGAAAGTGTGATAATATAAAATGAAGACAGATTTATTCGGTTAGTGATGGCTTATTTTATTTTTCTCTTACGTTGTTGGGATCGAAAGTTTATGTAATAGACATGTTTAACAAAGGTTTGCATGTTTACCTTTAACGGCACGAGTAAACAATACGGCAACTTGTAATTAAAAATATCCTGAAAAAAGTGATTTAAATTTTGCCTGTAAACGGAAGGATGCGAGTTCCCTCATCTAGTGTTTGTTTTGCTGTCTAAACGTACTTTGATTTTTTCTGTGTTGTACCCTAATGGAATTGTTACTTGTCTTGTTATTTTTCAGCCGTGTTTTGATCGTACAGTGAAATTCAATTTAATTACCTCCAACAGAATTCGAAATGCGGTTTAATCAACTTCAGAATTGTCATGTTTCAAGAAGTAG